GTGGGACCGGCAGTGGGATGCTGGGGGGGGTAATCCCAGTAGGAACATCAACTCCCAGCGCCGGTTTGAGGAGATGCAGCGCTGATTTAGCCAGATGTTCGTCTCGTTTTATTCCTCTGGGATGCAGAGGAGAAAGGCCTTGAGAAAAGGGAAAAAAAACCCAACCCAACCTCTTCGACCGCTTCCACGTCTGGAACCTGTAACTCGTCATTAGCTCTGATGGAATTCGGAGAGATTTAACTTCCCGGTGCGGCGGGAACACGCCGGGAACAGGCCTCCTTCCCTCGGCTCCGGGAGAATTCTATCAGCAAATCTCGCGGGACACTCCTGCTCCCAATTTAAACCTGCGGGGCAGCTGAACCCTGCGCAGATTAGGCGGGTCCGCCGGCAAATCCCTCTGGGAGTTCATCCCGCGGGCGGGCGGCTGGGAGCGCTCGGCGGCACCGCCCCGCACTCCGCCCCCTCCGAGGCGGGACTCGAACCCGCGCACCCGGGGCCCGCCCGCCGGAAGCAGAAGTGCCGCCCCCCAAACGGGCCCGGTGACTGGGAGCACGCCCGCCCGCCAGGGGGCATCAAAGAGACTCGATCGGCTGCTGCGCTCTGATTGGCTGGAAGCGATGAATACATTAAGAAGGTAGGAGAACGCGCGCGTTTGTGAGGTTTTGCCTGGGTTTTCAGGGAATTTTTAGCCGTAGTGGAATCAGACTAAATATATAATATGGGGAACAGTTAGAAGTGTCGAACCGACATGAAAGAAAACACAAATATCTCCTCACTCTGTTCTGCAAGAAGTGGCTTGCTGAAGGTTTAAATAGCTACGGCAGCAAAGTGAAAGCTGTGTTGTATGAAAGGAGAGAAGGTTAGCACTCCCCTTGATAAGGATGGAAGAGGTCCTAGTGGCCTATACAACACACATACGGTTAAGGCACTGCCACCTACTTCGTGGCATCTAACCATGTTTTTCGGTTTGCTCCTTTTTGGAGGGGCGGACCTTAAAAGACCCGGCAGCAGCTTTTGTCACCCAGCTTCTCCTTTTCCCTCAGCCCAAATGCGCCCAGAAAACCAGAGAGCCAAAGAAAGAGCTGGCCCTCCCTCAGCATGCTGCAATGTGCTCCGTCCCCTCTGAGCCCGCACCAAACACCTCCCCTACTACAGCCCGTCCACAAACCTTCTTTTCAGTGCTCTACTACAGCCCGTCCACAAACCTTCTTTTCAGTGCTCTGCTTTAGGTGATCCCGGCCCTCAAACGACCACGGCCATGCCAGGCTGCATATAATTATAGCTAAGTAGAGCTCATGCCAATAGGCCCCAGCATTAATCCCAGGTGGGATATTAAGGATTTAAACATAACCTTTACAAAGAACAGCTTTCCAGCAGATCCTTTACATCAGGGCTCCACCAGCCCTGCTGTTCAAGAGATTTCCTCCTGCCAGCAGGAAAATCATCTCCCTTCTCCATAGCCCTTTGGCTCAGAGGGCAGAGAAAGCCATAGCACAGCTGGGCAAAGCCACTCACACAGAGATAGGAGAAGTACTGTGCCAGAAAATATTTCTGAATCTACATTAAAATGCTCTACTGGAGTAAAATACCCTCTTCTCCACACTGCAAAGCAGCACAGCCCCACCTTGCATTGAAAAGTTTCATTGGCCTGCAAGAAGACTGAAAAAAAAATCATGGATCAATTATTTTAGCAGTGACGCTCACCAAGTCTAGACACACAGTGTCCCTTCCTGGTGGTAACGAAAAGCTTCAAAAGCCAGTGATATTATTAATAGCCATTTTAGCACCAGCTCAACATGAACTCTATTTTTATATTTTAAAAAGAAAAGCTATACCTCATGTCTCACAGCTCTCTTTCTCTGAGGGCAAAGCCAGGCAGCCTCGGGGCAGCACTACAGAGGTCTGTACTGTAATTGATTTTGTGTTATTACCAAGCATGAGGTCAATACCAAAAAAATTGGTCTTTGCTTCACCAGGAACAAAACATCCTCTTCCAGCAGAACCCTTTGGGTGCAATAAACTTGTGCCTCCGTGCATTTCTTAACCAGCACAAGCTAAATCCTGGATCCCTGCTCAGCCTGCAAGGAGGGGGCAGCCAGATTCCTTCCCCCTTGGCTAAAGCTCTCTGTGAGGGGTTGTACTAATGTCTCTGCTGAGGACACCTTGAATCCTCTTATTAAACAAATTTTGACCTGTGTTCCTCTTTTTCTCCACAACTGATGTAAAACACCACGTTGCTGTTCCTCCTCCTCCCTCACTGGAGCTGCTACAGAAACACTTCCCTCAAAAGGTGTTTTTAAGGGGAGCTTTATGGACACAGACACTTCACATTAGCACACTTAACCACAAACATACACATAAAATCCCACCTTTTTATTATGGCATATGGTATTTTTTTTTCTGTTTTGTTTTGAATGTGTAAATACCACACGGGTATGACAAAAAGGGAAAGAAATACCAACGCTGCGATAGATACAGAGTCATGCCATTAGCAATACAGCTTCATACGATGGATTTCCAAGATACAAAAGTCTGGGGTTTGTTTCTTTTTACATTGAAATAACTTTACAGTGTTCTGTGAGCATTGCTTTAGAACCAGAAGAGGAAAAAAAAAAAATTTAAAGTATGCTGAGAACAACTACAAGCAGAATTCATTTTAATGGTTAACAGAAGAACTGTAACTTTGCTCTAGAACAGCATCTATTAAACACACGTAACAAGAGGTAAGCAACTATACAGAAGGTAAGAGATTCCACCACAGGAGTCAAGTCAGGGGGCAGGAAGAGGGAAATCTGGAACTGCATGGTTTTATTTGGTCACAAAGTTTGAGCTGAGTGTTTAAAATGAAGCACCCTTAAAGATGCAGTACTCCTATTTAAAACAATACAGAAACTTCCCAAGAGACTAGAACCTACATTCTGGAAAACAAACAAAAAAAAAATTTAAAAAAAAAATAATAAAAAAAAATTAGACATTTTAAAAAAATTCCACACATCTCTAGGCTCGTGACTTAACTTACTGGTACAAAGTAGGCTGGCAGGTCTTCCTGAAGCAGCATCAGTGCCCAGAAGCAATGCCACCATTAAGTACAGTATCTTTGGGGTGTCCAAGACAAGGCTGACACTTCTGACCCGACATCAGAATGATCCATTTGTCTGCCAAAACATTAGGCAACAAAAGGAGACACTGCATCTTTATTTTTTTATTTTTTTTTTCCCACCACGTTGCCCGGCTCTAGCAGAGCTGAGACCTTCTCTTTGGGCCAAGACTAACAGAAACCACTTTGTCAGATATTCTTCAGGTTTCCTGCCAAACTGGATTTATGGGTGGCTTGTTTGTTTTTTGTTTTTTTTTTTTTTGGTTGGGTTTTTTTAAATAATTTTTTTTTTTTTAAAAACACTTTTTTTTTTTTTTTATTTCCTGACAGT